TTTTACCCAGGAAATAATTTGGTTTCCTGGCATAGTAAAAAGCAAAATGCCATCTCTCTTTCGACTGCTGAGGCTGAGTACATTGCTGCAGGGAGTTGTTATGCACAAATGCTATGGATAAAACAAATGCTTTATGATTATGGGATAGATCAGAACACTCTCACTCTTTTCTGTGATAACACAAGTGCCATAAACATTTCAAAAAATCCTGTCCAACACTCTCGCACCAAACACATTGACATTCGTCATCATTTTATTCGAGAGTTAATGGAAGAGGGCCTTGTTGTTCTTGAACATGTACCCACTGAGCATCAAAAAGCTGATATTTTTATAAAACCCCTTGATCTTCTTCGGTTTGAGTTCCTTAGAAAGACCTTGGGTGTAGTGCTCGATCACTAGAGTGTTACTTGTTCCTTGAGTGGGTGTGAGTGTTTGGCTTTATGTGTACTTGGATGCTATAATCTCATTGTCATTGATTCCTGTCATCTCTGCATCTAAATTTATATGAACATTGCTCATGCTGTTTACAAGATCATATTCTTCTGTGTGCATAACTCATTCTGAATGCGCATGCTCATTGACTTCATGATCATTCTGTACACATCCTTGAGACAAACGGTTACAGGGGTTTCCGCACAAGTAATCAAAGTTCTCTATGGACCACTAACAGTGTTTCTTGTACTTTTTCAGAGAATTGACCTATACTAGTATATCATGGGTGATGTTGAGTCTCTTAACCATCTACCATCGTTTTTCACTTCCACGATTTCTCCCTTAGTTCATTGAAGTCCGGGCATTAGGAAAAGGCTACCTCAGAGGCACCAACAAGGCCATCCTTTTTTATTTCATACTTCTCTAATTTGGTTTTCATACTCTTGAACGTGCATGCCACCAGTGAGTGCCCACAAGAAAGAAAAATTGAAAAAAAAAAAAGACTCATTGATTGAGGAGGAGCCTCCGCGTTTACTCAACAAATACCCCGTGATTCCTAGTGGTTTGACTTTCCTCTGTGATGTTTTGTTACTCTTGCCAGAGGTCCAACCATCCGATCACTACGAGGATTAACTCTAGCTCTGTGACCTCTCAAGGATTGCACACACACACATTCTTTTTGTGAGCTCTCATGTTGGTTTTTGAGTTGTGCATTCTCATGTCACTTATGATCATTGATTAAATTTTATCTAATTTGCTCATGATTATATCCTTCATATTGTTATAATTGCAAGTTTACGGGCTTCATAGTTTGTAGATTATTTCATCTTAGTATCATTTTTTGGCTATTGTGCTTACCTACTTGTATTTCAGGTCCCACTTTATGGTGTGAGTATTGTGTTTTTGCTCAAAAAGTTTTTTTTGGTTTTTGTTTTTTTTTCTTCTTCGCTCAAGCGTGCTTCTGCAGATGGCTTAGATTCTGAGAACGTGTTTTTCAGGCTCAAGCGACGAAATCTTGGCTCGAGCGACCCCTTGCGCATAAGTGTCTTCGCTCGAGCGAGAGAGTATTTGCTCGAGCGACCTGTCATGGTTTAAATTTTGTTGTTGCGTTCCTACACGTCATTTTTTTCCCCTCCTTCTTCGAGTTCTCTCTCTCTCACCTAGGGTTTGTCTCGCTCCCATTGCCTTTCATCCTTTGCTACCTCACTCGATTTTTTTTAGGGGCATCACTCCTTTCATCTGGCATTGACATTTCTTGGTAAGTTTTTTTTTTCTTTTCTTTTCTCTATTTTCTTTCTCGTTCTTAGTTTGTCTTGTGAATGCTCTGTTTCTCTTTCTCTATACATTATTTCTTACAGTCTTTGCTCAAGTGACCTGTCATGGTTTAAATTTTGTTGCTGCGTCCCTACACTTCATTTTTTTCCCCTCTTTCTTCGAGTTCTCTCTCTCTCACCTAGGGTTTGTCTCGCTCCCATTGCCTTTCATCCTTTGCTACCTCACTCGATTTTTTTTAGGGGCATCACTCCTTCCATCTGGCATTGACATTTCTTGGTAAGTTTTTTTTTTCTTTTCTTTTCTCTATTTTTTTTCTCATTCTTAGTTTGTCTTGTGAATGCTCTGTTTCGACTATGCTATCTAGGGTTCTCCATTGTTTGTTTATTGGTCTTCTCATTATGGTTTATTGTCTCTCAATTGTGTCTTGTTTTAGTAATTTGATACTTTTGTGCTATGGTTAACATCCAGGTTTAAATTAGGGCTTTAATATTTGTCTAATTTCTATCTAATTGATGTTGATTCCCTTCATTTTTTGTGTTTCAAATACTAATTTTTTGTGTTTTTTTTTTCTTTCTTATTGTTGCATTTGTATTTTTGCTATTTCTCTAACACTGGTGGACTACTAATATTTGCTGTGCATTTTTTGTTTGGTTTTGGGGTTTCTATATTTTCATTGGGTACCTTGTGTTGTGGGTTGGTGGGTATTTTCTGTGATTGTCTTGTCCTTGTGGGTTGGTCAATCATGGGTGAGCCTTCAAAACGTCGTAAATCTATTGTGTCCCACCCAAACTACAACACTAAAAAATTTGAATCCAAGGAAAAATCTAAACTGTTTCGGGAGTTCTATGTCTCTAGGAAAGTCCACCTTGAACGGAATGTGATTCCTAGTGCGTTTGAGTTGCTCCCCATTCGTTCGTTGTTTGATTCCTTAAGGGGTGATCAAGTTTTGCTTTTCTCAAGGCCTCAAAATCTCAGTCTGGTCCGTGAGTTTTATTGTAATATGCATTCTATCAGCAAGGAACTTGCTCCCTCTTTTAGCACTTGGGTTAGGAAAAAAACTTTGGCCATCACTGAAGATGTTTTTCGGTTGTTTCTTGGTCTACCGGAAGTCCAAGATTTTCATTATCCTTTTCTTACTCGCAATGGTGTTGACTTTGATCGAGTTGCCACTGAACTTTGTGGCACTCCCTGGACTTGGATTGCCAGGGCGCTCATACAACAAAATGAGTTTCTTCCCGTTTTCGACTTCTTAACATCATTGTCTGTGTCAATATTCATGTGACCACTCATTTCTCTCACATTACCCAAGATCAGGGGTATGCGTTATATTGCATTGATCACTGTCTTCCCATTGACCTGCCCGCGATGATTGTCACCAAAATGATCTCTGTTTTTTAGAGACACAAGTCCTTAGGTCTTCCTTATGGTTGCTTTCTCACTAGATTTCTCACTTCTCTTGGTGTCCCTGTCTTTGAGGATGACGAATTTGCCTCTCCTGTTAAACCCATTGCCAAGTTGACTGTGTCTCAAAGTCAAGCTCATATTCGGGGGGGTCCATCGGGAGTCGGGGGTACTGATACAGGTGATGTTCCCTTAGCTGAGGAGGCTGAGTATGATGCAGCCGCTGCTGGTGCACCAGAGATGCCTGAGATGCGTCTGCGTTCCTTTCGTGGCCAGCTGCAGCAGTTCGAGCAATCAGTCATGCATCGCCTTGATCTGTTGGATGCTCGCCTGGATACACTGGATGGTCGTCTTGATCAGCAGAGCACGATACTAGCCCAGATTCTTTCCTTGCTCCAGATGCGGCAGCCACCTCCTTCAGACTCCTAGTTTTTGACAGTATTTGGCTTGTGTTTTTTTTTTTTTTGGACAGTTTGTTTTTATTTTCTTTTCTTATGGTCTGTATATAACCGTTTCTTTTGTCTCTCCCGGACAAAAAGGGGAAGTATTGGTTCGGTCATTTTTTGGGGGTTTTGGGGGGTATATATGGGATATATGTTGATTTTGCATACTCATTGTGGATTTTGCAGGCAGCACTGGACTATTTTTTGCTTACATTATGACCTATGTGTTATGTCTTAATATGTTTTTTTTTATTCTCTATATTTTCTTATTTTTTCTTGGTGATGATTTTCTATTTTTGCAGATGTTTGGTTCAGGTTATTTTGTTAAGCTAGGATGGTTGTTTTCTTTAGAACTTGTGTTTGACTAGGACATTGTTAGAATGTTTTGTCCGGGAATTGACAAAGGGAGAGATTGTTAGGTCCCTTAGTCTTGTCAATCCCGTGGACAAACATGTTTTTATCAAGTTGTATTTTTTCTAAGTTTCTTGTCTTGCTCGCTAGAGCGAAAACTGCGTCTGTAAAAAACCCGAGTGTGCTGAACGTACGCTTGAGCGCAGGTAGCATGGCTCGAGCGAAGCCACTTAAGGAAAACACACGTGATTAGTTCCTCGCTCGAGCGAGACTCGAGCGAGAGAGTCTTCGCTCAAGCGAGCTTCGCTGTCCTAGTTTTCTATAAATACTAGTTTTAGTCCAAAACTAGGATTACGTTTTGAAATCTACTTTAAGGTTTTCTGAGATTTTCTTTCGGAGTTTTTTGTGAGTTTTCCTTGATGATTTGAGTGAATATTAAACTCATGTTTTGTTAAGCACATATCAAGAAGGTAGATTGGTTATATTCAAGAGTATTCTTCTTCGGTGGAATTCGGAGATTCAAGCATAGAGTTTCAAAGGAGTTTGATATTGTGCGTAGTCGTTGATTCGACAATAGAAGTTGTGGATTCAACTTCAATCTAATCAAATTCCGAGACGAAGGTTGCGGTGAAAGATATACAGAAGATTTGAAGACAAATTGGAAGCGTTTGGGTAATTTGTTTGTTATGTTCATAATCTTTCTTTCTTCAGTAGTAGATTGATTCCGTGGTTTTTTTTTCACAATTGAAGGTGCTTTAATTGTGATTTTTCCACGTAAAAATCGTTTATATCGATTTATTGTTTTTCGAAAACAACAATCTAAATCACTTTCGTAAGTGCTTGATGATTTAGATTGTGAGTTTTGAATGATTGGGAATTGGAGTAACTAAATCTTGATCTAATCACGAATCACTAAGGTTTTTCAATTGTAATTAGAACACATGCCTTAACAGAAATAAAACCCATAACCTGACCTCGCCTTAGATCCAAAACAGGGGCTTCAACAACAGAATAAATGTAGAGCCTCAAACACACGTGTTGGGAATCCACAAGCAAAGTGAATGAGAGAGAGGGAGAACAAAGTGTTGCACAACTCACCATGTCCTTAAATGCAGATAGAGTTTTCAAGTCATCATCCTCAATAGAACGTGAAATCCATACTAGTGCAGCATATTGCTTCTGCATGAAAGAAACGGGATATAAAAATGGGTCATTTGCAAGTCAATAAATAACTTGGAACCATGATAGGATTTAACCACAAAGTGAAAATTAACCTGCTTCTCTGCTTCTCCTTCACGCATCAGGCTCCACCCCTGGCTACCCACAACCTTGACATTTTTCACCTTAACCTGATTGCAGAATGTTTTTTGCACAGCTGAAACATAGATGTTCCAAATTTAAGAAACAAACACACATGTATTGGAAAATTAAGCTCACCAACTTATTTTCCAGCCTATTTATTTTCCCTTCTATTTCTTTTAATGACATCTCAGAGGGAACACGGTGTGCATTTTGTATCTCAACCAGAAAAGGCCGACCTGAGCCCAACATCCGGACCTGGAAAGAGCAGTTTCCAACAATCAGAATAGCATTCATCCAATAATATAACTTCTAATTAGGAAAAGAAGATTTTCTTAATACATCGATGTCCTCTCTACCAGCAGCATGAAACTTGTAATTATCACCCTGACACATAGGAAGGATGTTACTGCCGATTATCTCCTGTAGAGTAAGCACTTTAGACTGTTAGTTTTCAAATTATATCACAGCAAGTCCTCTAGAATGACAATTACTGTAGCTGAAGCATAAGATAGTACCTCAACAGATGCTTCTCCCATCCTTTCATCATCAATAATCCATCGAGTCTGACTCACATTTCGCGAATACTGCAATACAGAGAACAATGCCATGATTTGCCAGTTGCATGAAGATATAAATATATCCACATACTCTATCAATTTCAAACACAAACTACTATACTTATTTTCCATGTCATATATATAGTTCCACAATACCATGAGAGACAGGTTTTAAAAAATAATAATTAAATTAGGCATCTTTAAAATGAATGAAAAAAATCTGTCACAAAAAATTAAGCAAATGTTGCATGGACTCTCCCACTAATTAGCAAAAATACGTATTATTTATACAGCTTCTTTAATAGAACAGGGAATATTACTTGAAGAATAGTATATTGGTTTCAATGGGTCTAAGTTTTCAGTTCTATACTTCAATTGCAAAAGCCTATGGACTAATGTAAGAGACATGGAACTAATGTTAGGCCTTCTGTGTAAGCCTATTCTTTGAGAAAATCTAGTTTTAGAGTATCAAAACCTCCCCTCCATTAACCAAAATCTGATATGATAACAATAATTAAACAATAATGATTATTATTACGTTAAAGGACTAAGCAAATAAAGACTTAAATTTATATCAGATATCATTTTACACGATGCATTGAGGCTCCCTTGCTTCATCAAGGCCAAAAGCCTCTAAGAACATTAATTAGGCTGACACTGAAATAAAACTTCTGCATTAGAATTAAATGTCAAAATACTCAGGCCATCAAGTATGAGATGAACACATCAAGCACTGGTAACATGAGTTCAATGCCATTTCCAAAACTGAAGTTTCCAACACAAATAACAAGTTTATACTGCTCCCAGCTATCAACTTTTCATTTGCTTTAAGAAATTCATTTATTTTAGGGTTTCAAAAACGCATTCATGACTCCAACATTGCAGCTCCCTTGCCTCTTACATCACCACTCATTGTTAACCTAGTGAGATCAAAACTATAAACCGTGCAAACATACAGGCATCATTTGTTTCTAATAATCACAATGATATAGTGAATGCAAGTATAGTGCAAATCAAATTGAAAGATATCTTGAAATCTTATAAAACAATTTGCTCGAGCAAATCTAAGAGCATCTCCAATGGGTTTGCTAACCCACTAGTTAGTGTCATAAGTTATCAGATGTTGTACAGTTAGCTAACAAACAATTTTGATTTTGGCTCCAATGGCTTTGCTAAGTCATTGGTTAGCTAGTGTTGTTGCTAGTAGTGAAGCTAACTGTGGTGAGCACAGTAATGAAGAAAGGAAGCAAGTCATCATTATTGTCTGCCTTGAGTGTGATGATGATGGACAAGTCATCATTATTGTCCTTTTCTATTTGTTTTTTTATTTTATATATATATAAATATAAAATATAAATATATATTTATATATTTTGGTCGGTTCCACTCTTACATAATACATACTTCAACACACACCTAACTACACCATTACTCTCTAAACAAACAAACACTTAACACACACAAATGGGTCCCACTTTTCACACTATAACACACTTTAACAAACAATTTTAACAACACCATTGGAGACGCTCTAATACATTCAAAGATTCTGAATGATGGTTAACTTACCTTCAGATATCTCCCACCAATGTAAACAGGAGTCCTACAGCAAGTAAATGTCAATTGGCAGGGTTCATTGACCTAAAAATTAGAAGGCCACACCAAATGAAGAACACTATTATTTCAAATTGACCAACTTCAACCCATAGACATAACAACTGTTGCGGAATAATTTTTGAAAATTGAAAACAACAAATTAGCAATTGAAAAACATGGATAATAAAAATTTGTGGAACAATGGTGCTCTAAGTCAAACATTCAACTTAATAAATTGTGGGGCATTACCTTCTCCAGCTGGAATTGATAAAGGTCAGGAGAGTCATAATTCTGCAACCCATTACAAGACCTTTTACTGACATATTCTTCACTGGTGGCTAAATCAGAATGACCTGTGGCAGCAACCACACACCCATCAATGGTCTCCATGGCATTGTCACCTGTTCAAATAATTAATGTTCAGTTTGGCATCTTTAAGAAAAAGTATTAAAAGGTGGAGCGAATGCTTAGATTCTTCATACTTTCCCAAGATGCACACCTGCTATAAACTCTGATTATTTCTGAACTGCACCATTTACAGGAATATTTCATCCATGTAACCAAAGAATAAAATTACTAGAATGTCAGTTACTTATATCTTCCTCCAGAACATGATCTTGTTATTTCATAACAATAGCATAACCAACATCCTAATGAATTGCAATTGATATGCACTTCTTAATACTTCATTCCCACACAATCAATTGACAATTTGACATTCTAAATACATATATAATTATGTTTTTATGGTCCTCCCACAGTGAATAGATGATTCTGATATTTTCTGAAGTCTTTCAAAATCATCATCGTGCCCAAAACAGGTTGGGGAAAAAATGCCTTAAAGAAATAAAAAGAAGAAGAAAAAAAAAAAAAAGTGTTCCCCCTCCAGCACTAAATATTGACAAGCAGTGATGAACGCTAAAAAATCACATAAAGATTGTCTGTGGCTGCAGTTGAGAATCCAAGGTAGTTATTGGGATCATAGAGCAGATATTAACAAATTCTGACTGCACTCGGAAGAAAGATCCATCATATTTTCGGTATACCACATCATATTTTTCTTTAACCAATTTCCTAACTAGGTTCCTAGGAAAGATCCATCTCACTTTTTGAGTCCCATTTCCTTTCTTTCTTTTTTATGCAAATATACATATATATTTTTATGTAAAGTGGAGTAGGAAAGGTGAGGTAGGAAGAAGGTTCACCATTCTGCATATTTTTATGTAAAGTGCAGTAGGAAAGGTGAGGTAGGAAGAAGGTTCACCATTAATTGATGTAATATTGAACCCTTAAAACCTGAGACTGCACCAAACATACTTGCCGTAACAACAGAATAATTTCTTAGGAACTAAAGCTGAGAATTTGCGCAAGCCTAATTCTCAGATTTCTACCTATCCCTGGCTTTTATCTTATACCAGAATTTGCATTTGAGATGTTTTACATCTCCAATCCCTAATTTCATCTAAACTAAAAGTTTGGTCGCTTGCTTTATAAGTATCATGTTAAAAAGTATTATAACTTCAGTCAAATGTATTACAAGGATGAATATATAGTGAAAGAAACAAAACCAATCAAGATAAAAAGAAGGCAGTGCATGGGTTGACACAAAACAAATGACATGCCTATTTTCCTTCTCTTGTTGCATTCTTTCTTCTCTGTGAAGTTTTGAACCTTTGTCGACACTTCAGAGTGGGTATATGTCAAACGAATGCGAAAAGAGCTGCTTACACTAGATTTAACATCCTGCAAAACTTCAAATGTTCATAATGAATCAATTGGAGATACAAGATTCCAGAATGTTCCCTGCTCTTTCTCAAATATGGGAATGTTAGCCAGTTATGAAAATTTTTGCCTCCTGTATTTCAGTCCAAACCCTGTCATGTCAACCATCAATTTACAGATATGTTCACTTCCCATATATACACTCATTGCAAATTAAAATATTATGCTTTTCCCATAACTATTTTCAGCACTTGAACACTATGAAACATGAAAAAGAAGATCAACAAAATTGCAAGGGGAATCTCAAATTACCAACAATGTTTCAAGAGGATTTGTAATAGACAATTTCAAGACATCTTTTGCAGAAATGCGTTCAGAAAGAAACTTTTCTTGAAACCAAAGTTCAGAACTGTACTTCCTTTTCATATACAACCTGAGGAAAATGCAAGGAGAAAATAACTTTTCACCAGTTATGCTCTGGTATAATGCATACATTGACGACCAAAGAGAAGCCATAAAGAAGACAGAAGTGCAGATCAGAAATATTACAAGTACAAAAAACCCTAACATTAAGGTCTAAATTTTCCTTAAAATAATAATGAGCAAAACCATAGAAAGAACCATAAAACAGTAACATTTTTTTACAACAAATACGTATAATTTAACGAAACAAATCAAAGTTGCAATGTATGCTCAAAGCATTCAAGGTGGCAACATAAATTCAAGTTAAAGCTATAAAAGAAATCCACTGTCTTACAAGTATCCCACTATTTGTCTGAAAATCCAAAAAAAAACTTGGCTGAACATTTCATACCCAAAAAAGAAAAAAAGAGTAGGTTACAATTTACATCATACAATTTTATTTCTAGTTCCACATTAATCCTTGCACTTTCAATTGTGATAATCAAAACCTTGTAGTTTTGGTCAAGTTTCAATGTCAACCCCTTGTTTCCCTTTAGACGATGAACAGAAGTTGACTGTGTGACTATCTATCACATGAGTTAATATTTAGTTTGTTAAATTATGTTTTCGGAACTAAAGTGAATTTTGAGAGAAATATGAAGAGTTTAAGTGCTACCAAATTAGGTCATGTTACAACCACTCAGCTAATTGTTCTCAAATTTAATGGCAATTACTGAAAGAAAGTAAACATTGCAACTTGACCAAAAGCGTAGGGTTTTGATTGTCACAATTGAAAGTATAGTTACTAAAAATGAGATTTATGGTCAATTGCAAGGGTAAAGAGTGTAATTTACCTAAAAGAGAAAGGCATAGATGTTTGATCCAAGAATTAATAATCATTATTTACAAAAAACAACTCACCAAACTGCTTGTTCTTGTTCCATGACCCTAGATGGTATGGAGACTTCAAGAGAAAAGTTATCAATCTGATGACCCTCTTGCTTTACTACTTCGGCAATTAATAGAGCAAAATCATTGGCACGATTCCTTTTCACTAGCATCTCTTTGTTGTCATGATAAGCAAATTGCAAGATACCTAAACAAATTCTACAGAAATTTGGCTCCAATTCTGATTCTTCAAAAGAATGTTGAGTATTCAGATCTTCCTCTGCTCCAAGACCATTATTCACCATATCTCCCTCCAAACCCATTTTTCCAACAGCAGCATGCAGGACCGATGTCGAGAGTGAGGTGTAAGAATAAATACACTCCGAAACACCAAAAAATCGAAAGATGCACCGGATGCATACCTGCATCATACATTAAACATTCAAAGTACTCTGTCAATCATAAACAACAATGAAAGGAACATTAAGAAAATGTCAGGATAGAGCTGTCAAGGATGACTAACTGATGGCATAAGCATTATATTCAGGAAAATTATATGTACCGCAAAAATGTAGTGTGTTGTAGATTCAAACTTGTCTAGTGTGGTCCACATTATATTTTCTGGGTACTTTTTTGGGTACCTAGCACTGTCGAAATTAGTCAGACAGGATGCTTGTAGCTGTCTTGTAGAGATTCTTCTCAATGAGAATTTAAAGTTGTGTTACCTATAACGCTAATACCCTAGCGAATTACGTATTGGTATACATGTTCCGAAATATGGCATCCTTCCGTTCCAGAATGGTAAATTTAGTGATCTGAAACAATCCTAAAAAAAAATTTCAATATATTTCCTTAAATATTACTTTAAGAGGAAAAAAATCAAATATAATGAACTAAAATATAAAGTGAGTTAAGTTTTGACAAGACAAAAAGATCAAAAATGGGGGAAAAAAATTTAAAAATACATTTTATTGGATAGTTAATAATTAAAAGAAAATTACTCCAGAAGTACCTTAAATTTTTAAGTATAATATATTTAAGTCTACCCCTATCATACCACAATTTACAGCATGTGACGTACCACGTTCACGTTCCCGTTCGCGTTCCCGTTCCATGTATCAGAATGATCCACGATCCAGGTAACATAGATTTAAAGAAAGTTTCATGTTTTTAGGGAAGGTCTAGTGAGTTGAGAAGAATGTGCCACACACAAAAGACTGACAGGATTCAAGAACTTAAATCTAATCATTTTCAACTCACTAGACCTCCCCTAAAAACATGAAACTTTCTTTAAATTCTCATTGAGAAGAATCTCTACAAGACAGCTACAAGCATCCTGTCTGACTAATTTCGACAATGTTAGATTTAAGTTTCTGAATCCTGTCAGTCATTTGTGCGTAGCACATTCTTCTCAATGATGTGGACAAATTTGCACTACATTTTTGGAGTAAATTTCATTGTTACTTTTTCAGGGTACATATCCTTTTCCAATTAGCTTTCAAGTCTCCTTCTACCAGAAGTTAAGCATCAATTACAACAACCTTTAGCTACATGCCATAAAAATTCCTTCACAATCAATTACTACGGAGAAGAGAACTCCAGCACTGAAACCACATCATCCTTGCATTGAATTGACATAACCTCAAGCATTTTTGTGGTTATGGAAGATCCATGTATACTGGAGACAAAAGTAAGCTTGGTATCTTTCTTTCATTCAAATTCAAAGTAAGAGCATCTCCAATGCTCATTCTCTCTTTTTTCATCAAATTTGAGAGAAAATTAGGTTAAAACCTTAATCTGATATGAAACGCTCCAATCCTTACTCTTTTTTCCTTACTTTTTTTTTCATCAAATCTTTTTGAAAATGGTGAATTACACTCACCTCCCCTCAGGCCTTCATACTTTTGACATATTTACACAAGCTTACTTTTTAGTAATGATAAAAACTAATGCAAGCTAATGCAATGGTGGATAGACACTGAAATAAACAAAAATTGTAGTTGGAAATATATGACAACATCATTTTTTCATTCATACGATACGACTAATGAATTATTGATGGAAAAGGGCCTAACTGTTATGTGAATTAAAACCTCAAGGGAGGTCACTATAATTATGTCAAAAGTATGAAGTTAATTGTATTTTTTTCAAACACGAGGACAGGTGAGTGTAATTTACCCTTTTTGGAAAATTCGAAACTTATCCCAAAAATCTGTTTTAGCCATTTTTTATAAAAGAAAACCATCTCCAATCCTTACTCTTTCCAAAATTTCATAAAATTTGAGTAAAAACTTCACTATTGAAAATTTGGTGAAGCATTTGATTCATCGTTAGATTGGGTGAAAAAATTGCCTCTCCCTTGATTTGATACAGATTGATGAAATGGTTGGAGCACACCTTTAGCCATTTTATGATCAAATTTGAATAAAACCCTAACACTAGGTTTGACAACTTACCATAAAAATGAAATTTGAGTTCAGTAAGAAGTTTAAGTTGGAATAGCAATTAAAATCTAAAAGGCCTAAAGTTTAGTTTGCTTTCCCATTTGGTTTTTATTTTTCTTGGCAAGCAAACAGAATATATAGAGCAACAAGGTGAAGTGTGTATTGGATCATAGAATAGAAAAGAACGAACCCCGATTGACAACAAGTCCTTCACAGCGAGCGGCGGTAATGTAGGGACGGTGTCGCTGAGAAGCTTCGCTTCGTCTCCTGCGGCGGAGCTAACTGCAGCAGCCTTGGTCTCGTTCTCCATCTCCAAACAGAGAGCCCTTTGGCGGCAGGAACTGCCTCCCTCTCTCTCTCTCTCTCTTGAACTGTTTTGTACGAGTCCGACCTCAGTCACACGCACGAGTCCCTTGGATTTGGAGAATCTGAACAGGAACTGGATTTGTGAGCAATGTTACGTGAGAGACGGAGTATTTGAATTCCTACCAAGGAAGAAGGAGGGGTGAGACTCGCATCCCACAAATTTTTAATTGCATCCCACATAATGTAATCATAGGATCACTTGTATCTCCTATTTTTTTCCTCTTTAACCGGTCATTTTATTATGGGTAAATTAGAGTTGGTGCCAGGGGCTTGAATATTGAGGTATGAATTTATTTGGAATTTGTTTAATCGGTCGTCTAGCTTGTCGTTCGGCAAAGAGGTTAATAGTTGCAGTCAATAAGGTGACAACTGCGGTAGACAAATACTTCACTTGATCGTCCGGTCAATTTCACGCCATTCGCTCCTGAACCTCTCGAGACCTGACGCATTAGTGGCCAAATTACAAATAAAATCTCAAGGTTTAGCGTGTTTTGCAAATTAAACTCCAAGTTTTTAATTTTGATGATTAGAACCCCGTAATTCATTCTGTGTCACAACGTAAGCCCCCGTCCATCTCCGTTTCATGAAGTAACGGAGAAAATCATTTTTGGCGCCTAAACAAACCCAAAACGACGTCGTTCCTTATTAGACCCATACAAAAGCCTCTAAATTCTGAATTTCACCAATTAGGGCTACAATTTGCCCCAATTTCTTCGATTTCATCGATTTAGGGCAAACGGGTTTTTGCGATTTGAATGAAAATCTGAACTAGAGTTTGAAGTACTGCTGGTTATTGTTATTTGGAGTGTTAGTAAGTGATTTATACGATTTATTTTGTTTCTTTCTTTTTGTAATTTGTATATGAAGTTTTGTTTTTTCTTTTTCTGATTCTGTGAATAAAGTAATGGCAAACTCTGTGTTTATATCTTACTTTATTGCATGGGTATGTGTGTGTGTAGGTTACTTTTTAATGTCTTGGATGCTTTATGAATATTTTTATCTCCATTGATGGACCACTGCATTAACTGAGTGGTTGGACCACTGCATGGACTCAATGATGGACTATTGATTTATCAATTTTTTTATCTCCATTTTTGGTCCCATGCCACTTGTTCAATCCACTGATTGTTGATGCTTTTTTTTTTTTTGGTGATATATTTGTTTATTTGTGAATACAACAATGGATGATATAAATATGAAATTGGTTTTACATCATAGTGGGTATTTTATAGATAGTGATGGTGGGCCTATGAGTTACTTTGGGGGTAAAGTACATGTGTTTGATAATGTTGATGTTGATACATTTTTTGTGCTTGAGCTGATATATATGGTGAAGAAGTTAGGGATATGTGATTACAAACAGCTTTTTTATAGGATTTCCACAGAAGATCTGGTTAGAGGATTAAGAAGATTAGGTACTGACCAAGATGTTTTAAAAATGTTTCAATATCTAGCCTCTGCAAGCACATTAGAATTATTTGTTAAGCATCATGTGTCACACAATGTAGACACCCTTTACCCTATTTTGTTCCTTACTGATGTCCCTGTAAATGATGATAAAAATGCTCAACATCCTCAGTCTCGTGACTATAAAGATGATGCAAACAATGAAGATGAGGAGAATGGTGACTCATCAGATGGTGATTTCTTAGCTAGTACTAGGGGTGTAATTTCGGCCCGGCCCGACCCATGTTAGGCCCTGCGGGCTCCTACCAAAAATTGGGCCGGGCCACAGACCAAAAAACTAGGCCCAAGCTCAGGGTATTCGAGATTTGAGTGGGCCAGTGGGTGGGGCTGCTAGGCTTGGGCCTGGACCTGGGCTTGGGCTCGGGCTTTGGGCGGGCTTAAACAATTTTTTAAAATTTTTGTTTATTTTTTCCACCAAAATTTTATTATTTTCCATTAAAAATAACACTGGGCCTTAGGCGGACCGAGCTTTTGAGTGGGCCTTGAGCGGGCCAAGCAGGCCGGGTCCACGGCCCAAGTTGGGCTTCAAAACGATGGCCTAGGCCCAAGGCCTCAGGCTTGGTGTGATAACCCTGTTCCGTATCATGCTAATGGGTCCTTATTATGAATTTGATTATGTGTCTGATATGATTTTGTGTGCCAATTATGTGAATATATGTGGTTTTGAATTTCTATCTATTCACCGTAGGACTATCTGTTTGATTATCTGCTTTGGAAATTAAATTGAAGGCCTTATCGGCCACAGAACCTGTAATTGACTGTGCCATTGTGATTGGCGTAATTTTTAGAGACTACGGTAAAATTTAATTGAAAACTGTTTCGGGTCAAATTAAATAGATTAAATTGGTGTTATAGTGCTCAATTGTTTAATCTTATTTAATTGTGACTAATGGGACTTACAAAGAGGGACACTACACACTCAATTCCTCTCTTGGTTCATTTGAACCAAAAATTACTCTAAGAAGAGAAGAGAGGGTCGATTAGAGAGAGAGAGTGTAGGAGATTGAAGGTTTGGTCAAGAAACTTGGGAATCTTGAAGCTACACTCAAGAATTAAGCATAAGCTTGGAAGATAAAGCTCCTAGGTGAGTAAATTCATGAGTTTGAACTTGTTATTTTGTGAATTAAAGACTAATTGGTGATCAAGAACAAGAGTTGTGCTATAATTGATGAATTTGAAGTTAATGTGCACATGCATGTATAAGATCACCATGATTTTTGCATAATCAAGCATGTATTAAGTTGAATATGAAAATATGAGTGTTGAATCACACATGCAAGCATGGTTTTGTTAATTTTCATGTTTATGAGCATCATTGGTGCTATTTGAAATGGAAATGAGATCAAAAATGGACATGCATGTTGATTTATGGAAGATATGAAGCCTATATAAAGTTTGAATGTATGAACCTTGAGTTTACAAAGAAATGTTGATTAATTTGGAAGAATTGGGCCATGATTTTGAGCAACTGACCTCACATTGCTTATATACTCATGTTATATAATGTGTTTGCATGCTTTGGAACCAAATTTATGGGTTTTGAACCTTGGAAGGTCAAAATTGAGCTCAAGAACAATTTTAGATTTTTCCAGAATTTATGATGTCCACTCGAGCGTGGGAATCGCCACTCGAGCGAGGAATACATGCTCCCAGAACTTTTTGCAAACATGGCATCTGCTCGAGGGAGGAAGTTCACGCTCGAGCGGGGAGCTATGTAGGAAGACCTTCCGCTTGAGCGCCCGAGTTCGCGCTCGAGCGTAGAATTGATGTAACCAGAACTTTTGCAGACCTATTGGGTCCGCTCGAACGGGGAAGTCCATGCTCGAGCGAGGACCCTGTTTCTGAAAATTTTATGTGATCGTTCTGTGCTTCGTTTTCCGTTCTCTTTGACTTACAAGCACTCTTAGGCATGCATTAAGCGTTGTAATTGAGTTAAAGAGATAAGAATGAAGCCTAAAGAGGAATATGTGAATTAAAGAACGGATTGAATCGTTTGTGACCCATATGTGTTATATGATGTGTAGGGTCAAGCTCCAGGGCAAATCCACAAGTCGATCACTGTGAGTAATATCGATATTTTAAAGTTTGTCAATTGTCCAATTGCTTATTTCTTTACAAGTTTGCTAGTTTAAATTATAGATAACTGATTGACATGAATGGATGGGCCGAAGGCCGTTTTGACATGAATGGATGGGCCGCAGGCCGTTTTGACATGAATGAATGGGCCGAAGGCCGTTTTGACAAGAATGGATAGGCCAAAGGCCGTTTTGACATGAATGGATGGGCTGAAGGCCGTTTTGACATGAATGCATGGGTCGAAGGCCGTTTTGACATGAATAATTGGGCTAAAGGCCATTTTAACATGAATGGATGGGCTGAAGGCCGTTTTGACGTGAATGAATGGGCCAGAGGCCGTTTTGACAAGAATAAATGAATGGTCCAAAGGCCAGTTTGACATGAATGACAGTTTGACATGAATGATACGAATGGATTGAGCCCGAGGCCGTATGATGTGTTTGGAACCGCAATTACTTAACTAACATATATCTATGTATGTATGTATTAGTTAGAAATATAAATTGGGCCCAAGGCCGTTTGATGTTGTAACAAGCCCGCGGGGGGACCTCGCTACAGCTCGGACTCGACTTTTTTCAGTCACGGTTCTAAATCTGAACCAAAGAGTCCAAATCCGGCAAATCGTTTTAGGAAAACTGATTTTTGAAAGGAGTGCCAAACATGGACTGCTTTGCCAGATACAGAGTCGCCACCTAAATATTTTATTTTGGGAAATTTAGGAAACCCTACTTTGGTATACGTCTGTATATAGCTTTGTTTTAGCTGACTTAGATTTGAATGATCCTATCTGTATAGAACTTTATGTTACTATACCTTATGTTGTGAGTTATTAACATATGTATGTATGAGATGTTATGATGTGCATATAAGCACGGCTATATGGACAAAGTTATAAATTTGCTTCCATTTAGCCCCTTTACTCTGATGAATTTTGTCTTATTTGGTTTGAGGCTGTAGGTAATCTCGTGATTACTGGTCAGTTATGGCCTTAACCCATAGGGGCGGGTTCGGGTCGTGACACTGGGCTTGGGCCCGAGCCTAAACGAGCCGAGCCCACCGTAGGCTGCAAGTGGGCTTCAGGCCGCCCACGAGCCACAAGCCATTTTTACACTCCTAGCTAGTACTGAGGGTGAGGATGACCCTACTGATGATGATACCATGTTTGATGATAATGTAGAGAATGAACCAAATAAAGAAGGAGGCAATGCATTTGAGGAATATGCTATGAATGATAAGGATTCATCTGAAGAGGAATTATTAACCCCCAATGGATTTGATGAGGAGGGTAATGGGAAGCCAAAGTACCCTGAATTTAAGCCTGAGGTTGATATGGCTAATTTTGAATTTAAAATTTGAATGTTATTTAATAATGCCATTGAATTTAAAGATGTTGTGAGGGAAGATGCTGTGAGAGAATATGCAGTGAAAGAGGGCTATGATGCCAAATTCACTAAAAGTGAGACATGAAAGGTTCAAGTCAACTGTAATGATGGGTGTGAGTAGAGGCTTTATGCCTTTAAGATAAGTGAAGAGAACACATTACAAATTAAGAGAACACATTACAATTAAGACATACAAACCTACACACACTTGCAACAGAAGTTACAAGAACAGACAAGTAACTAGTGCATTTTTGGCATCTAAGTATGTGAACAAATTCAGGACCACCCCTACTTGGAAAATAAATGAATTTAAGGACACTGTGAAAGATGACTGTGTTGTAGAAGTATCCAAAATGAAATGTTACAGAGCTAGGAAACAAGCATTAGTGCAACAAATGTAGCCTACGGACATTGAGAGATGGTCTACGGGACCTCTCCCTTCCCTCAGGAAAAGAAACCGAGAAACCGAGCCTGGTTCGCAAACCGAGGCAAGGTACAAAAGAGGGTTCGGAAGTCCGGAGGCAGGGCTCACGGCCGCGACTCTGAAACTTCTGAACGAGCACATTATGCAACATCACCAAGCGCTCAATCGGTGACGTCTGAGTCTTAAGGTCGGTCAAAAATGGGGTGTCTACAGATGTATACTGTTCCAATGTATATTCCTTATTTGATATTATTCACTGGGCTTTCACTCACGCTCATTCATGTGTTTGTAGGTGAGTCAAGAGGAGTCCAAACCCAACCCCAGTGAAGTCTGTATGGAACAACTAAGGTTTTGAAGAGTCAACCCTTGCATCTCACGCACGAGACACGTCTTCGCCTTTTTGCCATTCTATGTTATTTTGTCATGTTGGCGAGGACTTTGGTATACGTCTGTATATAGCTTTGTTTTAGCTGACTTAGATTTGAATGATCCTATCTGTATAGAACTTTATGTTACTATACCTTATGTTGTGAGTTATTAACATATGTATGTATGAGATGTTATGATGTGCATATAAGCACGGCTATATGGACAAAGTTATAAATTGTCTTCCATTTGGCCCCTTTACTCTGATGAATTTTGTCTTATTTGGTTTGAGGCTGTAGGTAATCTCGTGATTACTGGCCAGTTATGGCCTTAACCCATAGGGGCGGGTTCGGGTCGTGACACTGGGCTTGGGCCCGGGCCTAAACGAGCCGAGCCCACCGCAGGCTGCAAGTGGGCTTCAGGCCGCCCACGAGCCACAAGCCATTTTTACATTCCTAGCTAGTACTAAGGGTGAGGATGACCCTACTGATGATGATACCATGTTTGATGATAATGTAGAGAATGAACCAAATGAAGAAGGAGGCAATGCATTTGAGGAATATGCTATGAATGATAAGGATTCATCTGAAGAGGAATTATTAACCCCTAATGGATCTGATGAGGAGGGTAATGGGAAGCCAAAGTACCCTGAATTTAAGCCTGAGGTTGATATGGCTAATTTTGAATTTAAAATTTGAATGTTATTTAATAATGCCATTGAATTTAAAGATGTTGTGAGGGAAGATGCTGTGAGAGAATATGCAGTGAAAGAGGGCTATGATGCCAAATTCACTAAAAGTGAGACATGAAAGGTTCAAGTCAACTGTAATGATGGGTGTGAGTAGAGGCTTTATGCCTTTAAGATAAGTGAAGAGAACACATTACAAATTAAGAGAACACATTACAATTAAGACATACAAACCTACACACACTTGCAACAGAAGTTACAAGAACAGACAAGTGACTAGTGCATTTTTGGCATCTAAGTATGTGAACAAATTCAGGACCACCCCTACTTGAAAATAAATGAATTTAAGGACATTGTGAAAGATGACTGTGTTGTAGAAGTATCCAAAATGAAATGTTACAGAGCTAGGAAACAAGCATTAGTGCAACTCGAGGGAACAAATGCTAAACAATATACAAAATTGTGGAATTATATTGCTGAGTTGATAAGGACCAATCCAAGTTCAAGAGTTGACATCAATGTATGGAGGCCTCAGTTTCAAATTAAGCCTAGGTTCCAGAGAATGTTTGTGTGCCTTGATGGAATCAGAAAAGGGTTTTTAACTGGTGTGAGGCCATTGATTGGCTTGGATGCTTGTCATTTGAAAGGACTTTGACAAGGACAATTGTTTGCTGCTGTGGGATGGGATGGAAACAACATGATATCCAATTACTTATGTAGTGGCTGAGAGTGAGATTAAAGAAAGTTGGACTTGGTTTGTAGAAAATTTGTTTGAATGTATTGGCACAAGTGCAGAGCATGAATGGTCCTTCATCATTGATTAACAAAAGGTATATTTATATTTAATGGGCTTTGTCCTTATTCTGTTATGTTCCTTAAAATTTTTCATTATTCATGATTGTGACATTTATGTTTTGTAGGGACTAGTTCCAACTCTTGAAGAATTGTGCCCCGAAGGCCATTATAGATTTTGTGTCACACATCTTTATGCAAATTTTAAAAAGGAGATTAGAGGGAATGAGCTAAAGAGTTGTGTATGGAAAGTTGCAAAGGCATATACAAGGGTTGATTGGGAGAAGCATATGACTAAGTTCCATAGTATAGATAGCAGAGCATATAATTGAATGATGAGACTTAATCCAGCTCAGTGGTGTAGGCATGCATTCAATCCCAGAACAAAGTGTAATAGATTGTTGAACAATATTTCAAAGTCTTTTAACAATTGGGTTTTACCAGCTAGAGATAGATCCATCCTCACCATGTTAGAGTGGATTAGGAGGGCTTTGATGGTGAGGCTACATGAATGTATGGACAAAATGATGAAATACCAAGGGCCAATATGTGCAAATATACAAACTAAGATTGAGAGGTCAAAGGTAAAATCTAGAGTATGGATACCTACTTGGTCAGGGGGTGCTTCATTTGAAGTTAGATATGGAGTAAGTGGTTATGTTGTCAACTTAGAGAATAGGACATGCACTTGTTTCAAGTGAGATCCAACTGAAATCCCTTGTCCTCATGTTGTAACTGCTATTTTCTTTCAAAAAGAGATAATTGAGGATTATGTGCATGTGGCTTTCAAAAAAGAGACCTACTTGAGTACTTATGAGGCACTGATAAATCCACTTAATGGCCAAAATCAGTGGCCTAAGACAGGTTGTGAGCCTTTACTTCCTCCTGAGTTGAAAAGGCCAACTGGTAGGCCTCAAAAACAAAGAATTAGAGACCTAGATGAGCCTCAGAACCCATTCAAATTACAGAGGAAGTGTACCAGCCTAAAATGCTCCAAGTTTGGTGTACATGGTCATAATCAAAGAACATGCAAGGGGCCTGTCAAGGGTAAAAAGGAAAGAGCTGCAAGTTTATCAAAGAATGTAAGTAATGTATTGGTATACTTTACTTGTAATTGATCTCCATATATGCTCAAACTGTGGTTTAACAATTTTTTGTTAACAGGTGAGGACTCGACAAACTTTCATGGGATTCAGATCAGATGCAATATCTGGGGATGCATCAACTGGTGGACAACAGCAGCAACCACCACAGAGGGCATCAACAAGGAAGACATCAACACCAGCAGCAACCATGAGAAGGGATGAAGTTGAACAAGTCTTGGGTAATCAGGCTAGTGTTAATAGAGACATAGTGAACTGAATGTTATAGTTATGAATTGATTTTTTTTGTAATGCTCATGTGACTTGAAGACAAATTATGGATGGTCAACTGCTTCTTTTTGTAATGGTGAAAGATATATATTGGTTTGGAGCAATATATAGATGGTTATTATACATGGTTGAAATCAATGATGTACCCAATTGGATAGTTATTATATATGCTTGGAATGTGTTGTATATTGGTTTGGAGTAGGTTGAACAATGGTTACTAACTGTTTTTTACATGCTTGGTTTTTCACATGCTTAGAACAAGTTGAATAGGTGGAACAGGTGGACCAATTGCATGGTTATTATACATGCTTGGAGTGTGTTGTCTATTGGTTTGAAATAGGTTGAACAATGGTTACTAATCTGTTTTCCCTTCACTTCGACATTTTGTCAAACACATTCAGAGCATTGGTTTTGCAAATGCATCAAATTCATTACAAAATGTATACAACCAAACAAATATTACCACAATCCAAACACACATTACAAACAAAACAAGGATTTATCATTTCATTCAAAATTATACATTAAGTTCACATTGGCAAGTGCATAGTTGCATTACATTTCCTAAACCAGAAATGCTAACTACCTAGCTAGCTAACTAACTAACTAACTAACTAACTAACATTGCTCACTGTTAACATTCCAATTACAATCACTGTAACAATCAATCCACCTACAATTCATTTCTGTCTACGACGATAAATTTGAACATCCTCCTTCAATCTTGCAATCTCAGTTACCATTTCCTTTAAGCTTGCAACCTTGTCCACCAACTTCGGCAACACTTGTCTACCACGAGGACAAGTGGGTGTATCGTACCAATAGAAGAAGCCATAAGCCCTGTTTTTTCAGAGGGGAAAAAAAAATAATAAATAAATAAATAAATAAATAAATAAAGTAAATAAATTACAAAATACTAATCAAAGTCAGGTTTAGGGAACAACAATATACACAAATTTCGTATTATTCACGAGACTGGGAAACTTACTCCATAATTTGAATAACCAAGAAACCTCCTAGCTAGGTTTGCATGGGTCCATGAAGTTCGGATTCTGGCTCTAATTTCACAATTGCAACGAGTCGATTCACCCCAATTATTTCCACCCAAGCTGTTTCCTTCACTCATATTTCGTAATGGTTGAAATGGAGCTTCGTATTGTCCTAAATCGATGAAATTAAAGAAATTGGGGCAAATTGTAGCCCTAATTGGTGAAATTCAAGATTTGGGGGCTTTTATATAGGTCTTATACGTTGTTTTGGGTTGGTTTAGGCGCCAAAAATAGCTTTCTTCGTTACTTCATGAAACGGAGATGGACAGGTGGCTTACATTGTGACACGAAATGACTTATAGGGTTCTAATTGTTAAAATTAAAAACTTGGGATTTAATTTGCAAAACACGCAAAACCTTGAGATTTTATTTATAATTTGCCCTTTTATTAAAGTTTGTAGTTACTCAGTCAATAGGTGCAATTTCAAAATCTTTGAGATATCTTAAACTCTATTGTTTTAGGATTAAAAAAATGATTATAAAATTTTAGAAAATTTAGTCAAAACTCTTCCATTAGATTCTTATTTGGTAAAAATAACAGTCCAATTTATTTTACTTTATAAACCCTTAACGAGGAGGCGTTTAATTGAGTAAGGACAAAGTAAAATATCCTTTCTTTTTTTCTTGAACAATATTGCTAAAGTAACATTTTACTGTCAAACAAAGTATCATGTTACTGTTCACATCAATTTCGAAAGTAATATTTAAAAAAAAAAATTCATAGTCAACATAAATCTTATTTAATAGATCTTGATGAGAGTATTCTAAAAATGCTAATTTTATTAAAAACCGACATCTAAATCAAAAGTTATATTATTTTAAAATTTAATATTTTGATAATAGTGATATGTGTTGGACTTTTCAAGAATTTTTTTTTATATTTATCCTTAAAGCATTAAAATTTTATTATGTGGGGGGTTTTGACCAAATCCTCCTATAATTTTTTTTTTAAATTTGATTCATACATGATATTAATAAAACCCAATAAATATTGACTTCTTAGTGGAGTGCATAATTTATGACGGATAAACTACCAATAAGTTTTAATAATTAGATTTAATTCTCATAAACTTCTAGTAATCATCACTAAAAATAATTTTTTGTGACTATTTTTTGTATATGTTTCTAAAAACTAACAATTAATGACTTTTATAATCACGTTTTTCATAAATTGTCGTTAAAATTTATAATTAGTGACATTTTTCTATAACAAATTTTTTAAATTATCGTTAAAAATTAAAAATTAATGACTTTTTTTATAATAATTTTTTTAAACTGTCGTTAAAACTTATAATTAATAATATTTTTTATGACAATTTTCAGACTATTAATAAAAATTAATAATAACATTTTTAATAATATTTAATAAAAACTTTCATTAATTATCATAAAACCTATTAAATAATAAATCCATCTACTAAAACTTACACATAAATCCCCCAATTCTGGCCAGCCCAATTAAAGACTTCGTCATCTAATTTGAAAGTCGTTCATTATTCTCTTTCAGTTTCCACAACATAGAAGGTTTCGCCTCCAGCAAACAGCCTGAGAAGCTTAAATAAATTGACTAGTCATAAGCCACAATTGCAATAATGACCCCATTTAGTAGAACTGTAAAAAAATAATTATAACTTATAACTTAACAGCTTATAATTGTGAATATAAATTAATTTTTGACTTATAAATTAAATTTCTCCTTTCCCACTCAAAAAATAAGTTAATTTTTAATTTACAAAAAGCTATAAGCTGTATTATTAAGCTGAACCAAACACATCAAAATAGCTTAAATTAAACTAAAAACTAAAATAAGCTAAAAATAAACCTTACCAAACAGGACTAATATTACAATAGTGAATCAAGAGCCAAAACACATTCATTGCAAAGATAAAACCACCCAATAATTGTGTTTTTGATTCTCAAACCACATTGCAATGTGGACAACAATACACCATTCGCCCGCGCTCTCCAACTAAAGCTCAACCGCTTCATTATGCCAACATCCAAATTATAGCTCTAATGCAACAGCACAAAATTCAGATATGGGTTTTTCATTAACGCCAATAAACATTCAAAAAGCCAAAATCTCCTACATTAAATCAGTCTCTTTCCAAACAAGAACTAAAACAAAACCTCATACATCTTGTAATCCAAGTGCTTTGTAACCAAGTTTGTACCAACCTTTTCACCCATCAAATCATTGTGTATCATTAATACCCCAATCACAACACATACCAAAAACACCAGTCCATGCATCACATTCTGTCTTCTCTCTTCCTTGGGGCACAAGTGATGATTTCATCGACTCTCAGAATCATCTCAGCAGCCTCGGTGGCAGAGAGCAACACCGCATTCTTAACTTTGAATGCTTCAGAGATCCCAAGCTCTGCCATATCTCCTACCTGTGAAAGAAAACCAAAAAGTTATAGAAACAAAGCAATGTCACAAACTAAGAAGCAAGAATCTATGAAAGCTGTCTGTAAGAATTTAAAAACAGCTTAAAAAAAAAAAAACACAAAATCTGCCAACCACACCAATGGCGATTGGTTTTCAACCCGTCCTGAAATTCTGCATAAGAGTTTCCAGCAAGCAAAAGCATTAGGGGTGCATAATGCATTTAGCACTCCAAGTAAGAAGCATGGACACTTCTAAGAAGGTGACAAAACACTCATCAGATGGTTCCCAACACCTATCGACATGGGTCCAAACATGTCTTATTTTTAAAAAAATAGCGCCATGCACATTCAAACACTTGGGCTGAATTTGTTTAGGATGAAAGTGGTAGGCAGAAAGTAAGAGAAGCGGAAAACCAATCAAACATTTTTTAGTTTGTTTTTCATGAAAGTGGTGGAAAAACTACAAAGCAAATTAATTTTCATACAACTCATATTAGCATCGTAACTAACTATATAATTTCTTGCTAAAAAACAGAGGAAAACACAAGTTTAAATTTGTCCATATGAAGAGTTATGTATAATTAAACTTTCAACTTTCTCTAGCTTTTTCTTCCAAAATTGTCATCTTGGATGGTTTGGGAAGTGGCTTTTTGACTAAAATACAATGTGAAAAAAGTGTTTCGGAAAGGCTTTCTGTCTTTTTACAAAAAAAATGCAAAAAAGTAAAGAGAATGGGAAGGAATCTTGGACTTTTATTGTATATTTTTTGGCTTTTTTTTTTTGTGGCTTTTTGACTTCTAGCTATTTTATCATCTTCCCAAATGACCCCTAGAAAATATATTTATCATCTTCCCATGAAAATATATTTTCCTTTCCATTTCTTTCACTTTCACTTTCTACCCATTTTTCCTTCTAATCAAATGGAGCTTTGGGGAATACGTGTCTATCGCTTAAATACATATACAACACATTACAAATTTGAATGACATAATTTGGAATCAAATTACAAAACACAAAACAAACGAAAAATGTAAATTTATGCATATTCTCTTCTTCTAGACTTTAATTTGGTTTGGTTTCCAGAACCTGTTGTTTGAAAAAATTTCAAAAATTTTAAAGTTATTTGGTAAAAAACAAAAAACATTCGTCATTTTCATGTTGTTTTATTTTATTTTATTATTATTATTTTTTTTGGATGCAAAAATATAAATATTTTTTTGAAGTTGAAAATATATTTTTGGTATTTAATTTTGTCAAACTAATTTTCATTTAAAAAAATCTTCAGAAAACTAATTATGAAAATAAAACAGAGCCAAGAGTATAAAACTATATGCTTTGCACATGTCTTCCACATGTCATGCCCTACATTTTAAAACAAAAAATTGTGGTGTGGTGTCCATTTCGTGTCACACGTCTGTGTTTGTTAGTGATGGCAATGGGCGGGGCAGGGTGGGGCGGATTTGTAGTAATCCATTCCTACCTTAATTTATAAGTGATGAGACTTAAAAAGATGTAAAATGAAAAATAAAAAATAAAAAGTAGAAATGATAATTTAGCTAAAATACTTTAGTCTTTTAGTTTCATTATATTTAAGAAAATTAATTATATATATATATATTATATATACATATTAATATATTTCATAAATAGAGTCGGGGTGGGCCATGGTAGAATGGGGCAAGTAAAGGAAAACCGATCGCGCCCCACTTCCTCATCGGGGCAGGAAAAACCTGTCCGTGTGAGGCAGGGCCGGGGGATGCAAGGGCAAAGCATGTGCTTAGCCCTCCAAAGATCTTATTAGTAATTCTGAATTATCTAGTTAAATTGAATCACTTACAGATCCAGAAATGACATCAATCCCTGCAGTGCTTCCTTCCTTGTGGTGCTCTGCTCGGAGCCGGGCAACCAAGTCAGCACTGTCCAAGCCAGCATTGTCAGCAATGATAGTTGGAATGGCTAGGAGTGCCCGCGAGAAAGCTTCAATAGCATGAGATTTCTTGCCAGGAGTCTTCCAGGCCAGCTCATCCACTGCCTTTGCCATGACCATCTCAGGCCACCCACCACCAAGCAAAACCCTACTGTCATTTACCGTTTGAGACAACACACACAAGGCATCATGCAGAGATCTCTCAGCTTCATCAAGCACGTGGTTGCTGCCAAAAACAAGACACAAAAACATCAAACGTAATGCATCAGAGATTCAACCAAAAAAATATATGTTCCGAATTCCCAAAAAGCAACAAAAGGTGCATTGCCAATAAAACCATGAGATTATGTTGTGCCACATGTCCAATCAATGAAGTGATAATATAGTAGGCTTGCAATTGAAAGGTGTGAATGTATGATTAAACCATCACAGTAGACAATTAATAGCCAGACAAATTTCTATTAACACATGTTGACATGCAATTGTACTAGCTTGCCATTTACAACAAGATGACAATCCAAATTATCAGATTTTGTAAATTGCTATATGGGTGTCAAGGGCGTCACAGTCAAGCAAAGAGGAAAAATATATCGAATAATAAAAGAATAACTTAATTTCCTCGCACTTAACACTGAGAGATGTAAGTACACAGCAAAAGCATGTGAATCACATAACTGACCACTGAAGTCCTAGCTCAAGTACTTCCATCTCCACCAAATATATATTAGTTAAAAGCACAGATAAGCCATCCTAACCAATCAAGATTACTTCCACACTCAAAACAAGCACTATGGAAAAGGACTATGGATCAATATACATAAAAGGACTATGGAAATTAGTTTAGCTAACATTTAAATATGCTCATGAAATTCAATCTTCAAACCGAAGCAACTAATGACATGAATAGGCTCTCAAAATTGGGCTACCTCTCATATTCAATCAATTGTCAGGTTGAATCATGAGTTAAAAAGATGAGATGACCATAATTTAGATGGCAAGAGAGTGCAAGGAGCATAACGGTAAGGGCAAAACTATCATAAAGTGGCAAATCAAGTACCTTGCACCTCTCAATACTATTGTGCAAGCCTGACCCATTTCAACGCCAGAAAAGTGGATCAGCTTGTCCTCACCGATCATAATTTCCTCAATGAGCTTGCAATGTCCTAGCTTAACTGATTCTGGATTGTCAAAGGTTGATGCAATCTCACCACCAGTAACTAGTGCCAAGCGCTCAATACCTTCAAAATCAGCATGCTCAATTGCAAGTATTCCTGCATCAGCAAAGAGTTCCTCTGGAAAATTGTAGATCAACTGTCGGTTAACAAAGCAGTTAATCCCATGAGCTATAATCTTTTGAACCTTCTCTCTCATCTTTTCCTTCTCAGCCCCTTCAATCTCAGCAACCCTAGCCATTGAATCAACACGAACGCGGGCACCATAAATTTTTACTTTATCTGTGTCCATTGCAGTATTTGCCACCAAGATCTTTGCATTTTCAATGCGTTTCGGTTGGCCAATACCTATTTTCTTGTCTAGAATGAATCTGCCAAAGAATAAAATACCAATTACACAAGAAAATATTTATTAGAAGGGCCCCAAAATATCATATAGAATTTATAATTAAACTAAAAAATAAAAAATAAAGATAACTGAATCTTCATTTGGTTGCCAGGGGAAAAAAAAAGGAAAACATGTTTTTAACTCTGGGATTTTCCTTTCGAGATTCACCAAAGAAAGAACTTGGTATCACAAAGATTGAGAGGATGCTAGACATTTTCACAAATTCCTCCACAAACACGATTCCACTAGTGTTATGTTGAGAGAGAGTTTTCAGCATATCAAATACGTTCCCCTCTGTAAAAGAATTCATAACCAATACCTGCTCCAAATGGAAATCTAATAGCAACTAGCACGGTGTGGGAACATACTTGATATGCTCATTTTTCCCAGATAAGTCATACAGATACTAATTAGAAGTTTAGTATCCACAGCAGAAAATAACCAACTCAACAAAGCAAAATTTAGTGACTGAGGTAAGCTGAGGTTTCTGTATGCTGAGAAACCTTTAAAAAATGAAAAATTTAAGATTCAAAAATTCCACCTTTTATAGTTTTCCTAGTTCCTAGCTTGTCTCAGCAACCAAAAGGAAATTCAGCACAAAGCTATCTATGCAGTTGTAAACATGTCAAAAAATATCAGAAACAAGCAAACAAGACTCCCAAGGTAATATAAGGACTAAGAGTTTTAAGACAGCCGAAGTAAGCATAAAAGCAAGCAGCATGTGAGCCAAGAGTCCAGAAAAAGCAGTAGGCACCACTCTATATTAGGTATGCAAGCACAGCTAGCTAACACATCAATGAATTTCATTAGTTCAGATGCCTCACCCCTCGTCTAAAAATGAATCCTTCAGTGATCCTCCAGGCTTCTTAATAATCTGAATGGACACTAAGTTTGTGCTGCCCTGCCATTTCAGGAAAATGATCATTGATCAGTACAAATAATAAAGGAAAAAAATGTAAACTAGAACATGTGACCAGCAGCATATAATTAGAGAAGATGTCTGAATATACAAAGGAGATCATACATGAAACGCAAACCTCCATAATCAAAGGAAAAAATAAAAAAAACAATAGTAGTAGAGAAACAAACTACACATGCACAAAGCAAATGAGATACTAGATGGAAACTCCTCATAAAGCCCTGACCATATGGGCCTACACTCTAAGGAAAACATATTTTAAAAGCCAACCCAAGGACAGCCAGAATTCTGCTTGTGGTTAAGGTGGGGAAGTAAAGAACATGGCTCATGCTTGGATCCATTCTTGGGCCAACATTTCTTAGGCGCAATCTACTACTCATTTTCATGCTTCTTATGATGAATAATATACATAGACGAAGAGTCTATCAATGTTTTAAAAGGGGCACCTTGCGCTTCAAACAGGTCAAGGCGAGGTGCAATACACAAGGGGCAGCTTAGGTGCTGAGGCAAAGGCTTTTTTTAAAGGCATGAGGCATGGGCTTCATGGGCTTTACCTATTTTTCTACTCCAACTGTTGATTGAGTGCTTTTTTGTGGGCATACCCACAAGGATTCAAAACTCTTCAATATAAACTGACCATATGTGGTCAAAAGATAGCAGAAAGTGATAAAAGATTGAAAGTTATACTTTACATCTTTTGTTGGATATTATATTTCTAATTTTTAGAAGATTGAATGTTATGTTTAAAGATTATCGGAAATGATTATGATTTTTGAAATTCTATATATTTGTTATGTTGAAAAGTTTGCCTATTTTATAATTTTGCTTTTCTTCCTTTATTATCAGAATCTTACAATTCGTGATTCAATTCACGATTCGATTCGCAATTTTTGTAAAATCGATACAAATTTATGGGTAAATCTATTTTGAAAGTGAATCTCTAGTGAATCCTACGATTCGTAATCGATTCACGATTCAATTCACTTTTTACGATTCATGTAATTTTTAAAATTATTGTGTCCGACATATTTTTGACTCCTTTTTATCCATCTTTTTGGTGAAAATTACATAATACCACTTCTAGTAGCGTTTAATACCAAAATAACTAACGTATATACATAATTTGTTATTATTTTAGTAATTATGGAGTTTTTAATAGGATCCAATCAGATTCAGTTAGACCCAACATATTTTTAACATTTCTTCTCATTTTTTTTTCCTTTAAAAAATCATAATATATCTTCTAAAGATGTTTAAAATTAAAATTACACTATGAATTATCTATTGCTACTTTATTAAAGGGGTACTTACGTGTAAGTCCTAATAAGTGAATTTATTGTCAAATAGGTCCTATGAGAAAAATTTGTCATAAAGAAAGTCACTAATTGTAAGTTTTAGAGACAATTTATAAAAATCATGACCAAAAAAAAATCACTAATTGTTAATTTTTAGCGACATATATAAAAAATTGTCACAAAAAAATTATTTTTAGCAACAATTTTATCAAGACTTATTTTCAATAGGTTGATAGGAATTAAATCCAACTATTAAGACCTATTAGTAGTTTACCCTTTATTAAATTGAATATTGTGTGAGATCAGTTATACCTTTTAAAATGTTTTAGGTTTTAAAATAAAAGATTCTAAATAATTCTGTCTTATTATTTGCTCACTGTTACTTAGAAAAATATGTATACTTATTGTCCAAATATCAATATTATTGTTAATTATTGTTACTTTAGAAATTGATAATTTGCCTATTTGGTTATTATCTTTATTAAGAATGGTTGATAAGAAATATCTAGAAAAGAAAAAAAAAAATTTAAATGGTGATCTTACCTATTAAACTACGTGATTATCATTCAAAATAACATTTTCATAGATTTAAGTCTAAATATTTTATATTCATAAGATATATTTAACACCTAAATGTGCAGATATATTTTTTTAAGTAATTTAGAAAAAATGACCGAATCTTTATGATTCACGATTCGATTCAATTCGCGATTCGGTACAAGGTCATTTCGATTCACAATACAAATCCCGATTTAACAACTATGTTTTCTTCTACTACTTCCGCTTCGCTTTGATGAGTTGCGCACCTCACGCTTAGGCTATACGAGACCTTATCGCCTCTGTGCGCCTAGAGACTTTTAAAACACTAGAGTCTACAAAGAGGAACCCTCTAATGAAACTAGCTTCTGTAGCTGGTTGTGTCTCCCCTTGGATCAGATACGAAAGGTAAAAATATGACATATCCTCAATATTAAAAACGTGTTAAACCAGAATGGTCAACCAAACCAATCATTTATGGGAGTCGTCAAAATAAATTTGATCTACAACTTGTATGGGCAGGTGACTAACTGGCTTCATATGTGGCTGACCATATGTTCCCAAGCCTATCTCAAATTTCAACAAAGAAATCTGAAGGAAACCACTGAAGAATGCTTTTACTTCAATGTTAGCTGAGACACCTATTTGTGTCAATCACAATCAGAGTTAGCTCATCATCACAATGGGCCTAAAGGTGAAAAACATGCATGGCACATTGGCACCCTTTCCACATATTCCATATCCTAGAAGCACGTCAACTAAACTTACTACATAATTTGATTTGATCTATGTAGAAACTATGGCTTCATTACCAGGATTAGATGAGAATGCAGAAGTGAAAAGGAAATATACCTTCAAACAATGTAACAAATTTGAACTGGTACCTAAGTAAGTAGGCTTCATCTAAATTATCTCAGTAAACAGGATACAATGCAGACACAAAATAAAAGCTTAAAATCTAGTGTCCTGTAATTTTGTCACCTTTCATTCTTTGTTTTCCTGCTTCATAAAGTTGTCAATCATGTACAAAGGCATGCCAACAAAAAAAAAACAATGAAATGAATTAAAAGAATATAGTAAGGATCTTTCCAACTAGGAGACAACCCATCCAAACTTGTCCTACAATGCAACCTACAACATCTTCTAACTAAAACAACTAAATATGTATGAATTACTTGCCTTTAACCTCATAACAGCATCAACAGCCAGTTTTGCAAAATGTTCCTTGTCCTGGGAAAGAATTTTGGAACTCAAAGTAGTCATTGCAATCTTCATCAAGTCTTCCTTGAATTTTTCTGCATTATCCAATAATGTAAAGCATATAAGAAATCTCAGTATTACATAAAATGAAAGTAGGGTCTTGACGTTAAGAAACTCAATAGAGGTTTGAATGGATGGAAGTTACCTACAAATAAAAACAGGGAAAATTACAGAAAATAATGTCCAGAAACCATTACCCTATCTTAAATAACCCTCCAACATACCAAATTAATCTGGTCTGTATATTGCAATCAATGTCTAAAATGGTTCATAATAGGATTTATCAACTATGTAAAAGCTACAAGAGAAAAACCAAAACAAAGGATCTTAATGTCAAGAAACCATTACTCCATCTTAAATAACCCTCCAACATACCAAATTAATCTAGTCCGTATATTGCCATTTTTGTCTAAAATGGTTCATAATAGGAATTTATCAACTATGTAAAAGCTACGAGAGGAAAACAAAAAAAAAGAATTGTATATGATACTCAATGTTCATACAAGATACCTGCATCGTCTTTATTATCCATCACCTTCTGCAGTAAAGCATTGTGAGCACACTCAGCAGCCATCCGATAACCTTAAGAAATAAAACAAGCATCATGATGACGAACTCCAACATCAAACAAATTTCACATGGTGATAACAAAAAGAAAAGAAGAACAAATTACACACCCTGAAGTTTCTGACAATTATAGATACACCCTTCGGGTTTTTGAAATTACAATAACACTCTTTACTTTATCTAACAATATATGAAGGCATACCCTCTACTAACAATACGCTAATGAGACAGATAGAAAAAGCTAAGTCATTGTATTAAAATTGTTGTATCGCTAGTTTGCCCTCATTGATAATATTTAATAGAAGTGTTAATATATATACATGTAAATTATGGGGGGAAAAAAAAGTACAATTTTTTGTTTAACTGTCTATCTTCCATTACAAAATGACCAAACCCCCTCCACACCACAGCACTATCACCAATATAGACCACACCCCAACATCACAACTCCCTTACACACAATCCCCAACACCAGCCAATATCTCCCTCTTCAATCTCCCTCTCTCTCTCTCTCTCCACAAAACTGATCCCTTCCATACACCCACATATGGCGACCTCACTCCATATCTACTGTTATTCTCGCTCTCACTCTTCTCTTTTCTACCCCGTTTGGCCCCCACACCCACGATCACACACACCCCTCCCCCCTCCACTATTGCTCTCTCTCCCATTTCTCTTCTCCCCCCCCCCCCCCCCCCCCCCCCCCCCCCACCCCTCCCCCCTTCTCTCCTATTGCCACCGTTACCCACTCATTCTTTTTGCCGCCTTTTTCTCTCCCTTCTTTCACAAAACAACCTTTTTACTCTTTCTCCTCATTTTTTTCCCTCCATTGTTCATTTTCTCTTTTCAATTAATAATTCAATTAACAAGATCTCTCTGCAACTCTAAATCATTTTTTTGTCTAAAATCAAAACTGTAATTGACTTGTATGAGCAGATCAATGTTTGGTTCGTGGATGGATTCATAATTCATAAATGCATGGTGGTTGTGAAGGTGATGGCCAGTGAATTGGAGTGGCTGTAGGAAGAGGGGTGACAACAGTGGGTTCAGATGCTCTGATATGTACTTGGATATTCCTGCAGAGATGGTTTTAATTTGATAATGATAGTGACGGTGATGGTGATGGTTCAGATCAGGAGTGGTGATGATTGCGTTGGGTTGATAGTTTTTGTGTTTTGCCAATGGCTTGAATTGACTAGGTTAAGAAAGGTGAGTCAACAACTGAGTCATTGAAATATGAATAAAAAAAGTAAGGGTAAAAATGTAATCTTTTCATCCTTGTCAACAGCGGAGAAAGTTTTATTTCAGAAACATGGTGTCTACCTTTTTTGATAAAAGAACCTATTCATCAAAAGAGCATCAAAGGGACAGAAACATGTAAACATGGTTTACACAATGTCAAAAACTCAAAAAAAAAACAAAAACAAAAATCCCCTATAAATCTACAGGGTATACAATATAAAGAAAAAAAAGGAAAAATCCTACTAAGCCAAGACAATGAGAGCAGTAATCTAAGGGGGCCACCTTAGGGAATGCCAAATAAAATGCAATGGAAGTCACTAAAAAGTTGTAATTTATAACAATCATGCACACAAACTGAAGTGGATAGACTTTTCCTTTCCAACAGAGAAGAAATTATAGATAAAAGATACTATACTAATCTTAAAACAGACCTGATATTATTGTCATTGGATGAATCTTTGTAGCTACCAACTTTTCTGCCTCCCTCAAAAGTTCCCCAGCCAAAACAACAACTGAAGTTGTTCCATCTCCAACTTCATCATCTTGAACCTTTGATATGTCTGAACCACAAATTAAGGATGAAAATATACTGAATAATAACTATTTGTCTGAACATTAGTCCAAGACATATCCCCCAAGCACAAACATGTTCCATGAGCAGCAGAAAAATTTCCACTAGCCATATAAACAACCTACTAAACAGTTAAGCCAAAAACAAGAAAGCAAGGATACCAACAAGAACTTTAGCAGCTGGGTTATCAATATGAAGGGACTTTAAGATTGTAGCACCATCATTTGTCACAGTAACACTGTGTCCCCTGCCTGTTGATTGTAAAATTTTATCCTGTAAAGAAATTACATGCAAGAGCAGCAAATTAAATTGGAGAACAAAATGGGTACCAAACGCCTAAAGAGTAGTAACTTCTAATTTAGCAACAAACTGAGGCAAGAATAAGGTTACCATTCCCTTAGGCCCTAAAGTTGTCTTCACCAAGTCAGCAATTGCCATTGCACCAATAAAGGATGCCTAAAAACCAAAGGAGAGCAATGCTTATTCATTAGTACAAAAAGCTAGTTAAAATTTGACTTAAAGTTCGATAAGAAATGTAATTCACAACCAGAACATGCCACTACTAAAACTACAAAAATAGAATACAAAAATTTAAACCCAACAACTGTAATACTACTTCTAACCTAACCAGCTTAGCCATAATCAACAAATCTCACCTCTGAAACTGTCAGAAATACAAGGGCAATAATATAGCCAAATAGTTGTAATACTGTTAACTGAACTAGCTTACTGTAAGCAAGTTTGTCCATGTAATGTGTCATTTGATTATCACAAATACATATAACAATGGAAATGAATGTCATAAACACATACATAAATCACTTAAAGAAATAAATAAAATTAGTGAGAGTGCAAACTTACCATTCTGGCTCGCTCACCCTTCTCTTCAGTAGCTTCATCTTTAAAAAGCCTCTCAACCTAAAAATCACCAAGTCAATAAAATAGTAACAATGAAAGGAAGTGACAGAGATAAGTTGGAAGTAACATCAGTGTCTCACATACCGCCATCACAACCAAGCAACACAGACAGAGCTAGAACCTGGGAGATCAACCAAACTATAACTGCAAAAATGGGGGGAAAAAAATGGGTTTTTTTTTCATCAAACTATAAGATAAAATCAAATATCAAATGCCAAGGATCTACTGAGCCCCAAATCTATGAATACTTGCCAAATAAGTATCAAAATACTCAAATGACAGAGTTTCAAAAATCCAAAACCCTAGAAAGCAAGAACATAAGGTTGTGAACCCTAAAGATTCAGCAATCTGAGAAAAAATCAAACTAACAGACATTTTGACTAAACCACAGAGGAAACAGAGAGCGAGAATGGCTGATTCAAGAGAGAAAATGAAGTTCATGAATCATTCAAGCAAAACCCTCAAAGAATCTGAAGTAAACTATGTGGAGAAACCCAAAAAAAAAGAAGAGAGAAAATTTGATAAACTGCAATCTAATGAAACACGTATTGAAGCCTTACCTTTGATCGCAATGTGTGAGAGTGAGAGAGAGAGAGAGAGAGAGAGAGAGAGTTTTGAGAGAGTTCGATCCCGCCGAAAGGAGGAGCAGAGTGTCTCTAGAATGAACTGAGGCTTTCTCTTCCCTTTAAGCAGTGAAAATGATAAGGTGCGTGTACTGCTTATATTGTACTCGTCGACTTTACCTTTTTGTAACCGTTTGATTGTATGACCCAGGTATACACTGCTTATATAAGGGTCAGATTTGTGATTTTATGTGGGCCCGAAATGTGGTTGGAACGATTCTTCTATTTGACACTTGTATCACATAGCATTTCTCTCTGCCTTCCAACAACAATTAGGGCGAAGTTTTCCTAGGCCTTGTGTTTGGTAATGTTGGGAAGGGTTTTGAAGTCGTAACGGATATATCGATTCGTCAAAATCGATCGAATTGAATCGATCCGTCGCATTTTGGATGAATGTGTGATGACGAGCGGACGGTTGCGGATTGATTTTCTTCAATTTGCCAATTTGACGGACGGATGGCGGATTTGAGGTTCCTTTGGCCGCAACCGAACCGTCAAACCGCGAGTACCCTTAGTAATTTATAAGATTTTGTGTTTTCAATTTGTTTAAATATTTTGTTTGTGTTTTCAATTGAAAAAGAGTTCAAATATTCTGTTGAAAAAAAGTTTTCAACTTGAATATATTTTTTGAATTGAAAAAAATAAACGTATTATTTATCTATATTTTTTTGTTTTTAAATCTAACTCTGAAAGTAATAAATAAAAAATATGAAATATGCTGGTTGGTTTTAGTTTTCAAAACATATATAAATGTAACAATACAGAGAGATACAATCTCAACTATTGCTCTGTTCATGGTTTTTGTGGTTTGAATTGTTTTTATATTTGAAGAACCACAGATTGTAATACTTTATGTGGATGAGGTATGCTGTGATTGTAATATGTAGATGAGGCATATTGTGATATTCTAAAGTTTCAAACTTTCTTTCTTTGGATGAGGCATGCAGTAATTGTAATACTTTTTTAAGTCATTGACTGTAATATTTTCTTTTTTGAGGAAGTGCACAAGTTGAACTATGTTAAAAATTTATAAAATTTCAAACCGCTAAACCGATTCGCATCCATCCGCCAAACCGCCAATCCGCTCAATCTGCATCCGCCGGATTGGCGGACGGATGCGGATTGATTTTCTCCAATCCGCCAATCTAGCGGACGGATGGCGGATTGGAGATTTCGTGGCCGCAACCGACCCGCGCGCACCCCTAGTATCTCTATATTTTAGTAGGGAGTTTTTTTTGATAAATCCATTTTTTAGGAGCTTTATTCCATTTAATTCATATTTTTTTTTTACTATTCCATTAGGTATAATTTGAGATAAGAAGACTACAATACCCTTTTCATCTACTTATGTTCCATTTAGTTCACATTATTTTCTTATGTTTCAATAAGTCCTATGGGTAACATAATTACCAAAATACCCTTAATGTGAATGTTCACACCGTCAATATAAATGTTTATATTGTCAATGTGTAGGGGCCCGGCTCATGTCGATCCTCGTGGGTGCCTGGAAAAATTCGAGTCTGGCCAGGCCGGCCCACAAGCCAAAAAAATAGGCCCGACCCGGCCCGTTGATAATATGAATATTCACATTGACAAGTTAACATTCACATTGATAGGAGTGTAAAATTGGCCTGCGGCCTATGGGCGGCCCGAAACCAGCCCGTTGCCCGGGGCGAGCCCGGGCCGGCCCGTTCACAATATGAATATTCACATTGACATATTAACATTAACATTAACATTAACATTAACATTGACGAGAGTGTAAAATTGGCCCATGACCCGTGGGCAGCTCGAAGCCCGGGCCCGGGTCGGGGTGGGCCCAGCCCGGCCCGTTGACAATGTGAATATTTACATTGCCATGTTAACATTCACATTAATAGGAGTGTAAAATTAGCTCGCGACCTGTGGCAGGCCCAAAACCCGCCTGCGGCTCGTGGGCTGCCCTGGACGGGCCCGACCCGACCCGTTGATAATGTAAATATTCACATTGACATGTTAATATTCACATTGATAAGAGTATAAAATTAGCCCGCACCCCGTGGCTGCCCGAAACTAGCCCACGGCCCGTAGACGGCCCGGGGCGGGCCCGACCCGGCCTGTTGACAATGTGAATATTCACATTGACATATTAACATTAACATTAACATTGATAAGAGTGTAAAATTAGCCCGTGACCCGTAGGCAGCCCGAAGCCCGGCCCCGGGCCGACGCAGGCCCGGCCCGTTGACAACGTGAATATTCACATTGACATGTTAAGATTCACATTGATAAGAGTGTAACATTAGCCGTGCCCCGTGGCTGCCCGAAAACCGCCCACGGCCCTGGGCAGCCCAAGCGGGCCCGGCCCGGCCTGTTGACAATGTGAATATTCGCATTGACATGTTAACATTCACATTGATAAGAGTGTAAAATTGACTCGCATCCCATGGGCGGCCCAGGCTGGCCCGGGTTTGGGTCCGGGCCTACCCCGGGCCGGCGGGCGAGTTTCGGGCAGCGGCTCCTATCAATGTTAATGTTAACATGTCAATGTGAATATTCACATTCACGGGTCGGGCCAAGCCCGCCTCGGGCTGCGATCGGGTTTCGGGCCGCCCACGGGCTGCGGGCCAATTTTACACTCCTATCAATGTGAATATTAACATGTCAATGTGAATATTCACTTACCAACGGCCGAGCCCGCCCTGGCCCGAGGTCGGGCTACGGGCTGCCACGGGTCACGGGCTAATTGTACACTCTTATCAATGTGAATGTTAACATGTTAATGTGAATATTCACATTGTCAACAGGCCGGGCCGGGCCAGTCCCAAGTCGCCCACGGGCCGTGGACGGGTTTCGGGCAGCCACGGGGCGCGGGCTAATTTTACACTCCTATCAATATGCATGTTAACATGTTAATGTGAATATTCACATTGTCACGGGTCGGGCCAAGCCCGCCTGGGTTTCGGGCCGCCACGGGCTGCGGGCCAATTTTACACTCTTATCAATGTGAATGTTAATATGTCAACGTGAATATTCACATTGTCAACGGCCGGCCCGCCCGGGCAACGAGCGGTCTTTGGCCGTCCATGGGTCGCGGGCCAATTTTATACTCTTATCAATGTGAATGTTAACATGTCAATGTGAATATTCACATTGTCAACGGGCCGGACCAGGCCCGCCCCGGGCGCCCATGGGCGGCGGACAGGTTTTGCGCCACCACGGGACGGGGGCCAATTTTACACTCCTATTAATGTGAATGTTACATGTCAATGTGAATATTCACATTGTCAACCGGCCGGAGCCGGGCTGAGTCGGGCCCGCCTTGGGCTGCTGTCTAGTTTTATACTCTTATCAATGTGAATGTTAACATGCCAATGTGAACATTCACAATTACCACAGGCCGGGCCGGGCCCGCGCCACGGGCCATGGGCGGGTTTCGGGCAGTTACGAGGCGCGAGCTAATTTTACACTCCATCAATGTGAATGTTAACATGTTAATGTGAATATTCACATTGTCAACGGACCGGGCCGGGCCCGCCCCGGCGCCCATGGGCCGCGGGCGGTTTCGCGTCGCCACGGGAAGCGGGGGCCAATTTTACACTTCTATTAATGTGAATGTTAACATGTCAATGTGAATATTCACATTGTCAACGGGCCGGGCCCGCCCTGGCTCGCGGGCGGGTTTCGAGCCGCCCACGGGTCAATTTACATTCCTATAAATGTGAATTTTAAAATATAAATGTTTACATCATTAAATTGCTAATCGTTGAAAAAATATTTATAAGGGTATCAAAATTAAATATAAGGGCATAATTGTCCAAGAAAATAATGTAAATCAAGAAAATGAACTTTATGGAATAAAACTATACATACATGGGACTAAATGGGTTAAAAAATTCCTTCATGGACTCCTTGGGTTAAAACACTTCTAAATTGGACTTATCAATAAAAACCCCATTTTAGTATGATGGTTGCTTTAAATTTTAGAAAATTAATTTTGCATTTTTTTTTTTGAAAATTCATTTTAGGTGAGCTTTTAAATTTTGAAATTTGGCTTATTGGTTGTCTTCCCGGACGTCCGATCAGTTGACCGACCGATTGACCTGGACAGTATGGATTTTTTTTTCAATTGACACTTGTTTTTTTAATATATTTTTAATAAAATAATATTTTTGAAATTTTTTAAAAAAAATTATAGGCTCTGTTTGTTTGTGTTTTCAAATTAACTTTCAACACGTGAACTCTCGCTTCACGTTTGGATAGATAGTTCAAAATACAATTCCGCGTGTTAATTCAAATTACAGTTTGAAAACTCGTTTGGCAGCTTGTATCTCCACTTTTAACGTTTCTGCCTTCTTCCTTTTTTGATCTGAAAAGCTTCCATGTCCTTCTCCATCGTCTCTGAAAATTTCACGTGAACCTCATTTTTCTTTCTCTTTTGATCTGAAAAGCTTCCATCGTTCTTCTCTATCGTCTCTAAAAATTTCACGTGAACATCATCTTTCTTTCTCTGTATCAAACATCAGTACTTAACATTCGTCACGGGTAGACTTCACAGGGAAGTCAGACTCATTTTATAAATAATGAATCCACCCAACCTGCTCCCTACTGGTATCATCTTCCACAAATCAACTAACTTACAATTTGTATGTTGCAGAAGATTTTTATTACGACAACCAAACAACGACGAGTACGAGGTGAAATAACTCACAAATTTATTGATTGAATTTTGTTATAGGGAAATGACTTGAAAAATTCATCCCTAATTTAATTTTTTTTTTCAGGTCAAATTTATCAAATCTACTGTTGAATCCGACGAGCAAAATGTGGCACATTCAGTTAGTATACACATTCCATCACCGGCGATAACTATTCAACTCCCACTAATCTGGTAAATAATTCCTTCATCTTTTATGTGCAAATGATTTCAAACGAGTGGAAATCAGTTCTCAAATCTTTTGTGAGAAGGGTAGCCGACAATTTTTTTTAGTTTCAAATGTTTTATGATTTTCTTGAACTGTTTCAACCTTTAATCTGGTAAATAAATCTTCATCTGTTATGTACAAATGATTTCAGAGAAGTGGAAATCAGTTCCCAAATGATTTCTGAGAATTTGTAGATGAGTATTTTCATTTCAGATCTGTTTGTATTTGAAATTCTGAACTGATTATATTTCTGCTATTTAAATTTAACTAATCTGTTACGTATTTTTTTCCTTCAAATAAAAGCATCTGTTTTTTTTTCCTTATATGTGTTCTCCTTCAAACCATTTTCCTCTGTTATTCTTGTATATCTACCCCAAACTAGTTTAAAATGCTTTGTTATTCTTGTATACCCACCCCAGACTAGTTTAAATATAATTTGTATGTTTATAGATGGATGAAAATAATTCTGATGACAATCAAGAGACAAAACTGTGGACGCCCAAAATTGAAACGAAATTAATAAATATGTTAAGAGATGAGGTTAGAAACAATCAAACAACGGGCCATACTACTTCGTGGACAATTAGGCATTGGAATCATTATGCAAATCAGTTGCACAACTTGTATGGATTTCGGTATACAGGAAAGCAGGTGCGCCAAAAATATCAGTGATTGAAAGCTGATTACCAGACATTTAAGTGACTCCAGGCACAGACTGGTCTGGGATGGGATCCCATTATAGGCACTGTTGTGGCACCCGATGAATTTTGGGATAAGGTTTTTCATTAATCTGTACTATTTTGGAATATTATTTTAAACATTTCATGATACATACAGTGCTTAATTCTTTAATTGCAATTGTTGTAGGCTAGCAGAAATGTGAAGAAGTTTATGACAAAAGGATTTGAATATTTTCAAGAAATGGCAGAAATTGTTGAAAATTGTTGTGCCACAAGGGCGTTGTCTCGTGCATCCACACAAGGAGCCCTTGACTCAGAAGAAGAAGATGAGGTGTTAAATAAATTTTGGTACCCTGATGTTGGTAGGAGTAATGCTGCTGAGGCCATTCCTGTTGACTTATTCGGGGATGTGCACATAGATCCAGCAAAGGGCAAAAGTCACAAGAGGGGCCCTACAACTAGCCAGACTGACAGTGGTCGTTCCAAAAAGTCACGGTCAAGTGGGTTTGATGATGTGTGTGCAACTTTCACATCCTATGTACAAGCAAAAACAAAACATTCACGTGCACGAGAAAATGAGACAAAAGCTGTAAGTGCATGTGGTGATGATTATTCCCTTGATGCATGTCAAGATGCATTGCTAGAGCTTGGAGGCATACCACCGTTGCAGTACGTTAGGGCACTGACACTGTTCAAGGATAAGGAATGGTGAAGGTTTTTTATTCGCACTCCTATCCATTTGCGCCTAGCCATGATCCTCGCTTTGCAGTGAAGTGAGAAGTTCTGTTTTGCTTGTGTTAGCAAATCTCCTTGGCTGAACTGTTTGATGATTTGATTATTCCTGATTTGGTTTTTATTCTTTTTTTTTTCATTCCATGATATCCTCTTTCCTTTTCTATCTTCGTATGTTTTTTTGGTTGAACCTTTAAGTATTTTCTGTTATATTCAAATTATGTTGTGTTATTACAATATCACCATGTATTAAATAAATTTTGTTCTCCTATGAATTTTACTGTACGCTGATAAATGACTACGGTCGACTATTCATGTACTAACTTTTTAATTCTGTTTCACCAATAATGCTAACTGTTACAGCATGAATAGCATATTTTATAATTATGCTTTTACTGTGATATAGACAAAATCATATGTCATCCGATAGAGAAAACAACACTGTGACGCCCCAAATTTTTTTTGAAACGTCATAAGATTTAAATAACGATAACTTGCTAGATAAAGTTTTAACTACTAATTAGGAACTTTTAAGTTCTTACGTAGTCAAAGTCCAACAATAAAATAAAACTACAAATTCACACCCAATGTCACAACATAGTTAAATCCTAATACAAGGGATAACAGGATTTTATTTCGATAAAATCTTGACTCTAAGTCAGCCAAGATTCGATATTGGTAGCAGCTCCAATTTCAGCCTCAGTCCCTTCTTCGACATAATCTGGCATGAAACGCCAGGGCAACAAAATATATGCTATGAGTTTTGCAACACAGTAAGAAAACGTAACAAACCTACCATTCTTTTTAAGAGAAAAATAATAATATTCTAAACATGAGATAACAATATAATTATACACAGAAATTACAACCATTAGAATAATTTCAGTAATTTTAATAAATTAGATGACACTCGAAATCTCACCAAAGAGATTTAACTTACCAACCACTAAGCATGACAATGGTTAATTTGAAACCCTCCCTTGGTCAAATATTTAAGTGTTATCAACCGTAACTACCAGGGATGCCCACATCCGGAGTTATATACCCAAGTAGTGGCATTCGTGGTCTGCTCCAAGGAAACGGTCTGCCAAGGGTAAGTAACCTCCCTGTGTGCCACCTGCACATCCACCCTTTTTCCAAAACCGAATACCGAAAAGGGGTCAAATAAGTCCCGTGCCATCTTAGAGCTTCGCAACACAATTTACGTGAGAATTCTCAAAACCAGGGCCCACCCTGAACAACCGGTGTTAACCATCAACCCTTAATTCCGTACAGTCTTTAAACCAAGACTCACCCCGAACAACTGGTATTAACCGTCAATTGTTAACTTTGTATATGCCGTTAATCATTTCAGTTAATTTTGATATTAATCACAAATAATTCGAAATTTTTAATTACAATTAATGTTATACCAACTCATTAAAATTCTCAATCATAAAATATTGCATGTGTCACACAATACTAAATAAAAGTACAGAATTTAAATAAACAATTTATTTAAACCATGGTATGAAATAATAACTTAGATACAAGAATTAAACCCTAAACACACACATGCACAAATTTTTGATTTACAAAATTAGACCAAATTTGTATAAATTCGTAGAAAGCTCAAAAATTGTTTCCAAATATTTTTGGATAAACTAGACATCATTTTCAACAACTTTGTAGAAGAAATCATCTCGAAATTCTGAGTATAAAATTATCTAAAAATTCGGATAACATGCTGGCAGATTCAAAACAGATTATTCCCAACACAGTTTCAGATTTAGTTAAAAATTTGTATAAATTCGTAGAAAGCTCAAAAATTGTTTCGAAATTTTTTTAGATAAACTAGACATTATTATCAACAACTTTGTAGAAGAAATCATCTTGAAATTCTGAGTATAAAATTATCTAAAAATTCAGGTAACATGCTGGCAGATTCAAAACAGATTATTCTCAACACAGTTTCAGATTTAGTTAAAAATTTGTATAAATTCGTAGAAAGCTCAAAAATTGTTTCAAAAATTTTTTGGATAAACTAGACATCATTATCAACAACTTTGTAGAAGAAATCATCTCGAAATTCTAAGTATAAAATTGTCTAAAAATTCGAGCAACATGCTGGCAGATTCAAAACAGATTATTCTCAACACAGTTTCGACAATGTATCATATGTATACAATCTGAAAATTTCAATTATGTAAAAAAAAAATGAGAGGATTGAAAGGGTTTTCTTACTTAGTTGTAGGGTTGAAATGGAATAATGAAATGGTAGGAAAAATATGCAATCTCAACCTCCTCCCCTTCTTCCACAAGAATTCCCTCTATTTGGATGTATATGGTTTATGCTTTGCCCAGAAAATATGAACTTTCTGTGCATGCTACTAGGTGCATTATATAGACTCTCTTCGTGGCTGGCTCTCTCTCTCTCCCTCTCTCTCACACATTCTTTTCATTAATAAAACCATTCCCTTTCTCCAAGTTCAAAGAATTAGGCTTTCTCTAATTTCTTTGCTCACTTTCTCCAAATTCTATGGCTTTCCCTAAATCCTAAGAAAGCTAATGGTTTATGGTTCCCATATCACCATGCAAATAGCCACGCAATTTTTTTTTTATTTTTTATAACAATAATTATTGAACATCCATAACATTTTTATTCTTAATAAGGCCTTTGTTAGTGATAGAATTGGGTTAATTTAAAACTAATTTTTACACTAATATACAATTCAGATAGACTGTAGACAAAATTAATTAA